ATCGAAGAAAATAATGTTTGAAGATTTTAAAATTTAATTTTCACAATACTGAAAATGATAATGATTATGTAAAAATCGACTAACTGGTGCACCTCCCCATTATGCAACACCTGTCCGTGCTTATTTAGATGAGCTGTTCCCGAATCGTTGGATAGGGAGAAGGGGGCCGATTGAGTGGCCAGCCAGATCGCCTGACTTGACACTCCTAGATTATTTCTTGTGGGGATACTTAAAAAGCAAAGTATACGTTACTAGACCGGTTAATTTAGAAGATTTAAAAGCAAGAATTCGTCACGAGATACATCGTATACCTCCTGAAGTTATTGATAATGTCCAAAAAGAATTTATTAATCGTCTTGGCTACTGTCAGGCAGCCAACGGTGCACAATTTGAACATTTAATTTAGTCGATTTTTACATAATCATTATCATTTTCAGTATTGTGAAAATTAAATTTTAAAATCTTCAAACATTATTTTCTTTTAATTTTTGTTATGTAACACCATAATTTTTCATGATCTGTGTATGTAGAATGACACGCTCTTTCAAATGGCATGGTCAAAATTGGGGGTTGCTATTTAAAAAAATTGTCGATGACGTCATATCTCGAACAACGATGACGTCACAAATATGGGTTGTATGTCAAAAAGCGCCTTTTTTAAAAACAAAATCGACGTGCCAGGGGATTTTTTGGAAAACTTCTTAATTTAAAATATAATGAATTTATTCGTTACTTTTCGAAAGCACTGCATATGTTTTTTTTTATTTATTTTTGTGCAGAATTCTATTCTGAATTCAAAGATGTATATAAAGTCTACTTTTGTAAAACATGTATTACAGAAAAAGCATGAACATATTAGTCAAACATATTTTGACTAATCATGCATACCTGGAAAACAAAAAATAATACAACAAAGCAAGTAAATGTCATTTTAGCGTTCGTGTTCCAGTTTTTTACGCATTATACGCTTTCCGTATTATTTACAGTAGGTTATTTATTGAAATAAGCTCAACAGTGCAAAATATGAATAATAATCAATTGACGGACATGATTCAGGTATACTTTCCGTGTAATAAAAATCGTGGCGCAAGAGTTCGCCTTTACAGGAAACCAAAGCGAGAAGAAGAGAAAACATCGACTGATTGTTCTTCACGTTGAAGAAAACCCGAGAACTTCCATTCGGGAAATTTCAATAATAATAAAGCATCAAAGAGTACATGCAGTAATGAAAAAGCACAAATTCAAACCATATATTCCTTAAAAAGTACAGGCAATAGAGGACGGCTACAATTTGTTTCTTTAGTTGTTTTGTGTTTGCTGTTCTTCGTTTAATGTGTTTTGTGTTTAATCAATGTTATTTCGTGTTGAACTTTGTATAATGGTTAATGTATTTAATCAAATTGTTTTTCTTTTAATTGATATGCATTGTATTGGTTTTTTTCTGTTAACTACAAAATTCTCTTTTGAGTTTTATTTGCTTTGCTGTGTTATTTTTTGTTTTCCAAGGCACAGATGATTAGTTAAAATACATTGGTCATGAATTACTGGCCGGGCGCCGAATGCGGTATCGACTAATATTTTGTCGCCTTTTCTGTAATAAATGCTTTACAAAAGTCAAGTTCATATACATCGTTGGATTCGCAAAATAAATCTGCACAATAATAAATAACAAAGAAACTATATTGCTATTTGAAAAATAAAAGTTGACTATCGCTTTTCAAAATAAAAAAAGTAGTAAATGAGCTTTAATAGGCTGGCTTTATAGTGTTTTTAGAGCCATTTCATTTAAATTTTTGTTTTTTAAAATCAGACTATAAATAATGGAGTTATGGCTTGCGGCGTTTTTTAGGAGACAGCCTGTATAAAACTCTTCTCATTACCTGTCTCAAAGGTTGCCTTAAGGATTCCTTTTGTATGTTGCACTTAGGTTCCTTCCCAATGTAACAACATTCCTTTTTGGAAAACCTTTCACTGCAATCGTATTTTGTGAGAGGAAGTGGGGACCGCTGCTCGTTGAGGTCTTTTAATTTTCTCAATTCCTCTGCAGATCTCCAACAATTTTTTCTATCCTAAAAGACGTTGTTTTGTAAAATTTAATACAATCTGCAGTGGCTATTAAAATTATCGAATTGAGAGGTTTATATTATACATCGTAAAAAATAATATTCAACTATACAGAGTGTTACAGAAAAGTAGGTGACCTTAGATTCTTTGGGTGAAAATAAGTTTTCTTACGTCAGTTTTCATTTTGAGACTTTTTTGACATTTGACAAAGTATTTTTATTAATATTGTCGTATTTTAAAATATTCAGTTGACATTTCCACATATTTTTACCGTGTGCACAACCCTTACTTAATGTTGGTAAAAAAAATCGTTGTGTGAATGGAGCAAATAGGATAATATCCATTATCCTTTATATTATTAATAGAATGTATAATATCCATTTATAAGCTACTTTTTCCTGGGCTCGCCTATGGTTCAGGGATATTCCTTTTTAGATCAGAAACTTCTGTATTGTTTTTTCCACTCTTGCAAAATTTTTATTTAAGGTTGGTTCACGAAATAGTGTACCCTTTTTAGATATGTATGTGATATTTATCCATTTCCTGTTGTTGAGAATTCGCAGTTTCCCTTAGGGGGCGAACTAAACTTGACAGAATTGTATACATGGATGATATAAGTTTTGATACGTTTCTGTACACATGTGTATGACATTTAACAGCCTAGCCAAATTAGTATTGGATTAAGATTTTTTTTAAGTTCTCGATTACTTTTTAGTCCTTATACTACAGTCGATGAGGATAAGAAGTAATTTCATACACCTTCATGTTTAATTCTGTTAGTTTCTTCTGATTTTTTATTTGTACATATGTGTTATAAATTTTTAACATTAATTTTGTTTAATATCAAGTTATGTATATTTGTTGAATGACGCTAACTCAAATTAACTGAAGTTAGCAGCGTAGTTTAAAATATAAAATCTATCACATATCCAATACATTTTATAAACCAAACCCTATATAATAATTTTGCAAGGTGAAAAGACTAAAGGAAGAAGCATATTCTAAAAAATAATACCCTTAAATCATACATGCGCAGGAACTAGTTGGGAGGGTCAATGGATACTACAATCCTTTTCCTTACGACTTTATGGGTGTGGCATAATTTTAACTGAATATCTTAAAATACACTGAAGTGAATATGATACAGTGTGAAAATTAATCATTACTCTTCGTCTTCTGCTGATATTACTTTTGGCCTTCCACGAGGTACACATCTCGGGCCACTTTTTGTTTATTTGACATCAATAACCGTTTCTCATATTCTAGATTCTCTTTCTACTCGGATGATTTAAAAATGTACAGTAAAATTACAAATTTAATCGATTGTATAACTTTTTAAATGGATTTGTCTAGAGTTCAAAAATATTGTTCGAAAAGAACAAGTAATTGATAAATAGAGATAAATACGGTTCTATATTTTTTTCATGTCTTTATTTTTTTATTAAGTGATTGCAAGTACTTTATAAATAACAGTAAACTTAAAAAAGTTAATTTGGGGATATTTGATCGAAATTAATTGTACATTTTGAATCCATTGTCACGAAAGCTTACTGCTGTTTAAATTTTATTTTAAGGACAAGTAAGTAAACCATGCACTGGTCACAAATCGATTGCATTATTATATTTCTCATGTGCATAGTATTTTTGAATATGCTAAATAGTCTAGAATCTTATTTTTTTTTAATATATTGATCCTATACAGATAATTCAAATTAAGTTTGTTAATAATGTTAAATTACAGATTTGATAGACATCTTCACTTTAAATTTTATGATAACTGCCCTAAGTCACTATAACTCACTAAAAATTATTATCTCGTAGAACAATAATTATGGACTTGTCCTTTATAAGACGTTTAGTGATAAAGTTGATTAGCGGTTAATTAGACCAACAAACTTTAGTTCCATGAATTATTTGCTTGATTCCCCATTCTACTTGATCCAAATAACATGCGATGAGTATTTTAATGATATAAATGATATCTTAACTGTTTTTATGTAGCTATTCAATTGTTTTTTTGTTTTTTTAATCTTCATCAAAGTTGTATTTTATTAACTTTCTTCCTTTTATTGCGCTATGCATCAATTTAGTTGTTATTATTAAAAGTATCAGCAATGTCAACGCACAGATTTTTATTGAATTTCCTTAAGTGTATAAATAAATATATGTACAAAGAATTTTGACACCGTGTATTTTGAAAAGAGTCACTTAAAAATGATCCAATGAAAGTCCGATTATCTTCGCAGGGTAATTTGTAGTTAATGGCTTGACCTACTATTTTGTGACACTCTGTATTTAAGACCTACTTGTGAATAACTATCACTCGAGCTAGACATGGACTGGCTACTGTTTCCTGGACTACCCCTCAAGCTGGCCTCCAATATGCAAGACATTTTCCTCCTCGCCAACTCCCTTTGCTCCCTTTCCCTCCTTTCGTTCCTTTCAGAACTGAACCCCTCCACTAGAATAGCTACCAGCAAATTAAACAGGACATAGTTCCCAAAAGTCATTAGGGCTACGAAATACAACGCCGCCCAGTTGGATGTCTTCGCCATACCGTTCGACAACACCATATTCCAGTCTTCTTGCGTCAAAATCTAAAATAAACGGTTTTGAAACTGGCGCCCCGTAAAAAAAACAGCTAAAGCTGGGTTTACGCGACGCGCTGCGCGGTGGCGTAAACCCGGCCTAAGGAAGACGGAGAGGTTCGACAGATAAAATGAGAAAAAAATAGTCTCACTTGGAATACTGTGACGGTTGCCCAGAGGATGTTGTTAAAGTGTTTTCGGTCGCATAGACACCTTTTGTCGTTCATCATTTCACAGCCGCAGTCTTTCGTTATCCCATTCTCGTCAGTATAGGTGCAAAACTTACCACCGAACAGGTACATGCCCAGGATGCTGCAGGAATGTATGTGAAAACATGTGTTAGACGGGTGAGCACACTAGATGATGGTTATTGCTAGTTTTTTCCTAGGTCTAGTTTGGCGAGGTAAAAGTTTGTTTCTTTTTCAAAATGTTAGGAAAATGCTATATGATTTATTACGTTGTTGCATATTTGTATGAATAATGTATGTGACTGTAAGGTAAATATTCAAAGATATTATTGCTTGAGATAGACTTCTAAGAAAAGTTCACATAAACAAAGGTCGTAGACCGCTTCGTTTTCGAGATATAGAATATTGGAATTAAAATAAAAATCACATTTATTTTAATATTTCTTTAAGATGTTTGAGTCGTTTATCGAAATTTAGAGTACTGTTTAACTAAGTAATTATGAATAAAAATTCACTATGTTGGTATAATAGTACGATATTTGTTAAGATAGAATTCCAAGAAGACCCCTTGCATTACTTTATTGGAATTAACCACATTCGACTCCTTAAGTAGAAAGACATTTGCGCAAATTTTCAAGGCACTCGCCTGCCATGGTAAATTGTTACAGTAGTTCCGATAACAGAACTTTATTGGCTTATTCTTTTCTTGGAGTTCTATCTTAACAAATATCGTACAGACTATACACAAATCTGTTTGCCAACTAGTAGCGGAGTTACTGGGGTACAGTATTGTCGCTAACAACCTTACAATTTCGATGCCACTGAGTACTTTGGAAATTGTATAAGTGCATTTAATTTCGGTTGGTATTTCTAACAAAAAATATTTCATTTTATTCGAAAAATTAGCCATCTCTCAGTTCTTGTTTCTTTAAATTTAAAATAAGCTTAAGACATAGTTGACAAAATCGCAAATAACTACAAAAATATTCATTTCATAAAAAAATATAGGAATTTTTTGTGAAAAATACAATTGTAAGTACAAAGTAAAAAAAAATCGTTGACATAGTAATATTAATTTTTTTAGGGGCTATTTCCCCTGAGATAATTAAAAATGGCTACGCCTACCACTATAATTACAGCTACATTGTATTGAAATTAAATTTCTAACAAAACTTTCATTTAAGATTTTTTGTGTGGAACAAATAGTTTTGTAGTTACTATCGATTTAGTCAATTGTCGAAAGTTTATTAAAAAAGTCATAATAAATAGTGCTGTTAGAACTGAGCCGCGAGACATAGGCGTACGCATTATTTATTAAAAATCAACAAATTAAATTGTCTACGATAGACCACCATAAACACAAACTGATAGGAATTATTTACGCAACATCTGCACGATAAAAACGTGACATCTTCTCGATAAAAAAGCAACATTATAACTAAGATGAAAAGTATTCTGAGGCAGCGGTTCGCGCATGTCTTGGTTGAGCCGCTTGGCACGCCATTGAATTGCGGCTCTTTCTGACAGCCTTACTCATAAATTGCCGGTTTTTCGAATAAATCCAGAATTCTTACCCAACTATCAGCATACGCAGTGGTGTCGAGATTCAAGAGTTCTTAATTATAGTACTCCCCAGGTAACTCCGTCACTGGTTGACATATTTGTAAAGAAATTTAGAGATTTCATTTCCATAATCGTTTAAGTCATTAGTCTAAGTTTCATCAATCTACATCGAACAACTTAGAAGATATTTGAAAAATGTGATTTTTTTTTAATTTCAAGACTGAATCTCGAAAATTATGCGTTCTGCTATGTTTATATGACGTTTTCTACCGACTGTTAAAGTTTGACTACAATAGTGATTCACATAAAACTTGTGTGAAAACCACTTAACAGTGCTCCTTGATGACGTCAATTAAGACCTTCAATAGATCTTTTTCAAAACAACTTGTAGAGTGTACAGGAATAAAAAGAATATTTTTCTTTCGCACGAACTAGAATAACTTATTCAAGCAAATTGTGTTCTACAAAGAGATTTCGAAAATTAAGTAGTAGTTTTTCAGATCTTTCATGTCCAAGTTATACTCAAAACTCATAAGAAGATTTTATCGGATTACTGTTTCAGACTATAAAATTAAAACTGAAATGTTGAGAAATATTCGAGGCTTCTAGAATATTTAAATTAATTGTGTGATATCTGAAAAACTACTGGCTTTTTGTTATTTAATTATTCGACACAACTTGCTTAAAATTCAAAGACGATATGGGAAAATTACTTTTCAAAATTCATTTTGTTTTATTTTGGCGCCATCTGCAATTTGCTTTGGAAAAATTAAACTTAAATTAAGTCTTAATTGACATCATCTAGCGTCAGTTTACATTTACAGAAAAAAAAAATCACTTTTCATTGCTAACAAAGTACTCTATCGAGGTGTTTTATGCGAAAACAGTAAATATTTGCTATTGTTGCATATGCTAAAGAAATATAAATATTTAATGAAATAACATGTCAGTGTAAAAGTCATAGAGAGGCACATTTTTTATGATTTTTTCATGATTATTCTCAACAGAAACATTGAAATCATAAATTTCTTATTATTTGCAGTTGCATGTAACGAAAAACCTGGCTGGATGTTGTCATTTTCATCGAACTATACCTCTAAAACATTTATGATTAATTAATTAATTTTCAACAAATATTTTCAGTGACGTGATATAGATCTAAATAGTTTAACTAATTTAATCTGATAACCGTATTAACTCTGCTTTGCCTCTATGAAAATACCTCTCTGTTTTTTTGCATTATCAAAATATTTACCTTACGTTTTATGTTAAAATTATTGGTTATTAATTACAGTGAATGCGTCAATTTTTCCTAGCTTTCGACTAATACTTAGATTTTCCAGACATCTATGTTAAAAAATAACGCTCACTTTCTAAACTTAGATACTAAATGTAGCAGTAGACTACCAAATATTTTGTTCTTTTGAATTATGATAAAAACTTTTTTATGGACAAACATTTTAGATGTGCTCCACAAATAATATTAATATCATACAGGGCATTTTTTATATATTGTACTGCATTTAATTTCACATGAAAATTGATTTAAAACTTAAGAGTTTTCCTTAATTTTTTATAGGTAAGTTTAATGGGGTGTAAAATATAAAATAAACACTCTGCACAATGAAAATTTCCTGAAATTGATATAACAAGTTTAACACCAACATATTAATAAGTTTCTCAGTAAAATTGTATGTTTTATAAAATCCGAAATTGGAGAAACAGGTCTGTATTGTTTTATTTGTTAAGAAAGAAATATTTGCATAAATTGAGCATTATTTGAATTATATTTTTAACATTCTATAAAAAGGTAAATAATTCAAAGGTGGATAGTAGATTTCTAGTAGTGGCTTATGGCAACTTCTTTTGGCCGTATCTTCTTCATTGTTAGAGATAGAGCTACGAAATCTTATATAATCGCAAGATTTTGCATTTTGTAATATCGAAATGTGTAAAAATATAAAGGGTCTTCCATTAAAGAAAAACTAAAGCTTATATTTGTTTTTAACCTTTTTTCCTACGTAGAAAAATAACAGAGAAAATGGGGGGCGATACTCAATATTTGGGGAGATGAAGCAACTGTCAGTGTAAAAAAGGTTATTTGGACTTTCGATCCACCAGTTTTCTTCTTTATAAGTGGATTTTATAAATATAGATGGGAATTTACACATTGGAGAAAAACATACATGTGCAAAAACTGTATTTTATGTTTTAGCTTATTTTTACAGAGATTGTTTTCCTTTCTAATAAGAACTTATCAAAGTCAGCAACTGTTTCAAATAACTTTTTCTCGAAATTTCAAGAATAACGGAAAATCCATTTGAAATAATTCCAATACGTGCCTGTGAAAAATCTTAAAATATGTAATTAATTTTGAAACTAAAAGCTAAAAGTCAACATACATGTAGGAAGTAATTACGCCATATGGTATCGTGTTTCTATTTTTTGTTTCCATTCGCGCAACGTCTCATAAAAGTCATTTGTACCTTAAACAAAACCCTACATAATTTCTGTGTTTCAAATATTGCACATATTTACAGATATGATGAATTACTGCAATGATTGATATAATTTTAATATACGGGGAGTGTCGCCAAAATGCTGCCATAGCATCGCAAGTGTATGCCGAGCGCACTTCCTTTGCAATTTCATTATAGAGGGTATTTCAGTACGCGTGAATCAAACTTTAACCATAAACAGAACTCAATAAATAATTCAGAATTGCCTTATAAAGCAAGGGTCTAAGTCTCACCGTTTCCAATGTACAGGGCCGTATTGGTGAGTTGTTAAAATCATATTATTTACGAAATCATTTGTATGTTTATAACAAATTGATTCAAATTTGGTGTGGTCCTAACTTTTGCACATATGCATAGTTACTGTAAAATTAATAAAAATTTGTAGGTCAGTGGTGTAGGAATGAGTAGTAAAGCGGGAATTTTTTACCCCAACTTCTACGACAATGACCTAATAATCATTTGGGATTCATTTTAGATTCCGATGACAATTCAACATAAAAAAGGTATACTTGTTGAAAATCGGTCAGGACACCCTGTATACCTCGTAGGTTTGTATAAGTATTTTGTTCAAAGGGCTCATGAGCACACACAGGAAATTAGGGGGTGGACATGCTGGAATACCTAGCCCACCTGAAAGGCTACAGGTGGATGTTTTAGATATGGTGGATGATCCAACAACTAGTATTAAACATAGAACACAGCGAGTTGAGATATTTCATACTAAGTGTAGGTGTCTTATACTATGAACGGCTTTTACAACAAAACGCGTTCTATGCAAATTCCGGTAAATTTGTTCTCTAGTAACAGATGAGTTTACTCAAACTGAATAAATAATTTTTGAAATACGGAAATATTATATTGGTAATGTTAAAAGGAAAATTCCAACTAAAATAATACTCCGTGTTTAGTGTTACTTAAATATAACTTGGACAATTATTCTGTTTATTTTAATTTTTTTTTTAGAAAATGGTACCATTCTCTGAAAAAATAACATGATTTGTTTGAAAAGTGTGTCTTAAAAACAGAAGTAGTTTTATAATGA